CAAGCGAGTAATACAAGATGTTCGAAGTACTTTAAAATAATATAAATAAAATTTTTTAACAGTTGTGTAACGTTAAATGAAGATCTACATAGGAGGCACTGTCCCTGCTGAATGTTTTGAGTTATTTTTTAACATATCGTCTTGATTTTCTAGTATATGAACAATATAAGAAACTACATTTTTTTCGCTCTGCATCTCCCCTTCAAAATCACAATTATATTGGCAAGAGATTTCAACTTTGGGTTTTTCCGGAGAACCAGTCCAGCAAATGAAATACCAAGAAACCCCAGTTGTTACAATTCCAAACAATTGTTGTTGCGATGATTCAAATTCCGTCTGTTCTAACTTACGCTTGCCTAATAAACTCTGAAAATATGCATCGATAGTCAGGCCTACCCTAAGCACAACAAATGAATACAAAAATGGTGGAATTACCTCTGATGCGCTATGTAATTGCATAATGTTTTGGGCTATTCCCTTAGTTAAATCTTCCAATTTGGCCTCATTGACTAGCACCGCAAAATCGTCGAGTTTCACTAAATAGTCCACAGGACCATACCCTTTAAATCCATAAAGATTAGCTTCTACATATAATTGTGCTGAATTGTTCGTATACGCTTGAATGTGATCAACTGCGGTCTTCATGAAAACAGATATATATTCCCGAACAGTTGCATCATTAACATTGATATTATTTTTGAATACTTTCATCATTTTTTTGATCTCTTCAACAAAGAATTTCATCTCCTCTACGGTAACTGAATTGTAATTTGGGAGTTCATCTAAATTAAATGCTTGGCCAAGTGATCCATTATAATCTCGATGCAAAACATTTGTGAATACATCTCTGATGTCCCATTTATTATAAGGTTTTTTATCTATTAATTGAGTTTGAATTAGGATATTTACACCATTCTTCGTACCAGGTTAAGATATAAAACCATACCTTTAATTTGGACTTTAAGGTCGGGAAGAACACGTGTTTTCTTTTTTTCTTCGATCTGATCCACGAGCTCGTTAAACTGAAACTCATTCTTAATATCAAGATTTTCTTCGTGATTACCTTCAGAGATTTCAAAATAGAGGTCACCCACTTTTGCATTTTCGAATTTTGATAATTTACTGAAATTTATTATAACATCTTTTCGTAGCAAATCCCAAGATCCGCTAGAGTGTGGCAATTGGTATTTCACTTTGCTGTTCCCTGATTTATAAGTTACTATGACTACGGAGAAGATAAATGAGTATTAGACATTATAGGAAAATAAATATATGAAAACTACTACTCGATGTGGACAGCGGGTATCGAACGATAAGTGGGCATGAAACAGTTGTATTAAAGTTTGCTAGCAATACATCACCGAAAAGAGCTTGTGTTCGATCCTTATCAGAGAAAAATTCAATCTTCTCCGGTCTTACGTCCTTAAGAGCCTCAAATTCTTGCTTAAGAATTTGCTTAAAATCGCTTGGCTTAACATGAATTTCCACAGAACTTGGTGTGCCCTCTAGAAGAACCCACATCGATATTAATGGATTTGGAGATGGATTAACTTTTGACATACTTATAGATATAATTATTAAACCAATCAATGTGGATTTGGAAAAAAAAATTAAAAACCAAAATTTGCATAGTTTGAGTATAGAAAATTTTTTTCTGATAAATAAAAAATCTACACGTGAGATTTTTAGACCGGGGTAAAATCGCCACCCAAAAAAGTTTCGAACATCACGGGACAAATCTAGAGCACCAAAAATTTATCTCAAAAATTTACTTAAGAAACAACTCTTCATGCTTTAACAAAAAAAATTCCTCGAG